AGTAGAAAGTTGAGACAAATTAAGAAAACAATTCAGAAAGTTCAGAAAGTTAAAAAGGTGAAATTCCTGAATTTTTAGTCCAAATTTCTAATTTATAAAAAAAACAATGGGCGAAATTGTTTCGATTTCAGAGAAAAGTGGACGGAAATCCAATATCAAAAATGTTATGTCCAACATTCCAAAATAATTTTTTCAACGTTTTAAAGGACAAGTGGAGGAGTGATTTTAAAAAAGATGTCCTATCAATCTGAAAAAAAAAAATTGAAAATTCTGAATAATTTCTTGGTAACTATGTAATGTAAAACCTGTATAAGAAAGGCCCCTGACTTCTAAACTAATTTATCTTGATTCCAGTCAACGATTCAAAAAAGTTGTTAACAGATAAAGTATTCATCGTAATACAACCATGATTTCATCAGATGACAGATTTCCGATATCTCATATATGAACCGAGATAAATGAGCTCAAACTTGGCAGTGTGGGGCCGTTGTATTACAGGTTTTGAGGTATTTCATTTAGCCGAACCTGAAAAAAATATTTGGTAGTTCGAGCTAGACTGAACAATGTTAACCTCTGAAAAACTTATGTTCCTTATTCAGGTACTGAAATTTAGTTTCCGCTTCTGAAAATTAGAAAATTCCAAAATTTCATTCACCATAAACACTCTAATAACGTACCACTCTAATAACGTACCTCTCCGACCGTAAACTTTGAGCTCAATTATCCAGATTTCTATAGGGAATATCAAAAATGTGTTAACTGATAAATTGTTTATAATGATGACGGAAACATGTTTATAGTTGACACATTGTTGATATCTTGCATAGGAATTGAGATAATTGAGTGCACTTTGAGCTCAATTATCTCGGTTCGTAGGAAATATATCGTAAATTAGTCAACTAATAAAAATTTTTCCCATTATATCACCATTTTTTATCAGAAAAATATATTTCAAGATTTCTTGAGAGAATCGAGATAATTCTGCTCAAAATTGGCAATTTAAGTGGATTTCTAAGTATTAGAAGAATAGTATCTTCATAACGCCTTCAAAGCTTACAGTTCTAATCTGAATATTCTGAATTTCATGATTTCTACTTCTATCAAAAATGGATATATAAGAATTCTGTACTGAACGAGAAAAGTGAGCGAAGTGCTTGGTGGGCTTTGCTCTCTCGCTCGTTTTTTCTTGCCCCAACAATGGGAATTAGTAATCAAGAATGCAAGGCATGGGAAAAAATAGGACAGCCGCCAAGGAGAAAGGATATGAAAAATAAGTTGGAGCACTGGAAGCCGAAAAATAAACCCGTATTTAGAACATTATACGACTTCTCGACTTTTGTGTAGACGTAATAAAACCTTATCGAAGAAAACACGACCATCCCGAGGAAGAAAACGAGAAGATTGGAAAACAATTTCAAATTATTTTTGAAGGAAAGAAAAGCGACAAGGGATGGGGTGGGGGGGAGGGGTTAGAGGCAAAAGCCAATTAGCAGAACGACATCAGGACGACATGGAAGCTGAACGAGCGTGGAGAAAGGAGAGAAACAAGATGTCTGCAACTGAAAGTAGTAGAAGAATGAAAAAGAAACGTTTTTGAAATGAAAAGAAACAAGCAATTATACAAATAGTTGAACGATTGAAAGTTGAAAGGTTGAAGTGGCAAAATTTCAAGAAAGAACCCGAGAAATGATTTGCGCTCTTCACAACGTCATCTGAAAAGAAATATGATTGGAAAAAGTGTTCGAAAGGGTGGGGCCAAGTGTAAATAAAAGTAGAAAAGCGAGGGGGTTGTTGTAGGGTAATAATACTATTTGATCCGTCTCAGGTGCCTCTCATAAAAAGAAGAACAATAACAAACATGCGCGGGGGTCTGTAGTAATAAGTTAATCGGTGCTGGGAACATGATGATGACCTTTGTCTGGGGACGAAGAGAGGTAATTGTGATGTTTGGGTTGTTTGCTTTGGACCGGTAGCTGATTTATTGGCACAATTCGAATTTAATAGGGAGAGAGAGAGAGGGAATTGAAAAGGTGAAAAAAGTGTGAACTGTTCAACTTGTGATTTTTGGCATTTCTTATAGTTTTTAGGGTATAGGTTTGGTGAAGCCTTAATTCGGTAAAAATGTAATTTTCAAAAGCTCAAATCTTCTACGAAATATAGCACGCATTGTGAAACGTGTAATAGAAGAGCCTTCGCGCTGTCAAGTTTGAACTAGTTTATCATGGATCCTATGCAAATTTTTCAACAGCGGAACAGTTAAATTTTTGACGATAGTCCTAATGTTGTCATCCTAACATCTCAAGTTTTTATAGTACTCCGAACTCTCTACTACAATGCCACTGTATAATTGAATTACGAGCTCAATTTTCTCAATTTCTATGAGGGGTATCGAAAATGTGTCAACTGATAAAATATTCGATATTATATTACCAACTTTTTCATAGTTAACACGTTTTTGATATGTGTTCCAGAAATTGAGATACCGTATTTCCTCTCATTGAAGCCAATGAGCTTCTATTTTTCAAAATGTATCTCAGGAAATTTCTAAAATCTGAAATCACCAGAAAATCTTTGAACAAGAAAGAAAATGTCTGCAATAACCGAATACACAAACTGCATTGTACAAACTTCACTAATTGAATTGCACAAAATATTGTCAAAGGATGGGCTTCTATGTTTTTAAGCACGTCGGAGAGTGGGCTTCTATTAGAAAAACACGGTAATTGAGCACCAAGTTAAATAATTGGTTGAAGGATGCATCCCGTTCAACTTGAATTATCTTCTTTTTTTCAAAATTTCTCATACTCAAGGTTTGTGTAACCCGTTAAGTATAGGTCTCCCCCCTGTTTTTGATTATTACTCAAGAGCCCGATAAATTGATAAAAAATTTTAATTTCATTGGATTTGAAATAAAGATACATTCACAGACAAAATTTGTTAAGATTTTTCTACCAATTTTTCAGTTAAAAGGTTACCATTCGTTTAAAAACACAATTTGCCACGAATGATTAAGAAAAACACCAGTTGCGCAATGAGCTTAATTATCTCAATTACTGCAAAATATATCAAAAATGTGTCCACTGATAAAATTTTTATCATAATATCAGAAACATTTCTATAGTTAACGGTTTTTTGATACGTCTTCTGGAATTTGAGATAACTGAGATCAAAGGTGAAGTGAAGGTAGCATTATGCGAAATGTTGAGCGGGTTTTTCATGATTTCTCAAATTCTAAGTTTTTGTGAAGCGTTGATTATAGAAAAAAACCTGGTTTTTAAGAATTCCTAACTTCTACAAAAAAAAGTAGACTTTGAAAAGTTGCAAATTTTTGAATTACCCAATTTTTAAGGAGTACAATAAAAATAGGCCACCCCCTGTTTTTGAGTATTACTCCAGAAGCCCATGGATTAATAAAAAATTGTAAATTTCATTCGATTTGAAATGAAACTATATTCAAGGACAAAAGTTGTTCAGAATATTTGACCAATTTTTCAGTTAAAAGGTAAACATCCGTTCAAAAACACAATTTGCCGCGAATGATTAAGAAAACACCACTTGCGCAATGAGCTCAATTATCTCAATTGCTGGAAGAGATATCACAAATTTTCCCACTAATAAAATCTTTTTCATAATGTTATCAATATTTTTATAGTTCACGGTTTTTTTGGTAGGTCTGCCCAAACTTAAGATAATTGAGCTCAAAGTTGAGGTAGAGGTTTTCATTAGAGCTTTTATGGTAATTCTAATTTGATCACCTGACTCTCATTTTAGCTATTCAAACCTTCGATATTCAAATCTGATAATCTGATGATTCGAAACTTTTTAGGCGGGTAATAAACTGGCACAATGCACTATTTTGAATTAAAAATGAATGCAACTCATTTTGATTGTCCGAAAAAAAACGAGTCTAAAAGCACGAACAAAGAAGGAAAATTGAGTGACAGACGGATTAGAGGCAACAAAATACGTCTATGCTATTCCAAAACAAGAATTCGCCTAACAACATAGTGCACAATGTTCTTTTGAGGGCTTACAAAGTGAAAAGATTGTCTGTGTGCGCGCCCACCAATTTGTGTGCTGGTCGTGTTTGTTTTTCAGATTACCTCCATCAACTCGAATAACCTCTCTAAAACTACCGGGTTGAAAAAAGTCAGTACCGGAAATGGCCTTTTTTTGAAGTAATGCGATATTTGGATAAAAACTGGAAAGGGTATTTATCAGAGCTGTCAGAGATCATTGACACATGGATTACTGTAGAAAGAAGGTTCTCCGAATAATTCTAATCTAGGGAGCTAGAAATGGATGAAACGTTAGAAAACTCAAACTTTCGTCCCTTCATTTGTCGAAATTTCTTTGACAAATTCTTTATGGCGCGTTCAAAGTTGATTTCCTGGATTAATTTTCTGGAAAAACGCTGTCCAAGGCTGCCATTGTTTTCCAGAGGCCTCCGCTTCGAGACCCGCCGTAAATCGACATGAATCAACAGGAAGAACACTGTCAAAACGAGTGACACAGTAGTTTACTGCTACTGTAAATCTAGAAAACAATCGCAGCTTTGGACAGCGTTTTTCAAGGAAATTACTCCTGGAAACCAACTTTGAACGCGGCATTAAAAAGACATTGTTTGAAATATTTCTTTTTCGAAAAGTCACACTGGTCATGACTCTTTGTTTTCTACGATTTTCCATCAATTCTCCATTTCAAACATTTGAACATTTCAGATTTTTCTGGAAAACTCCGGAATACTGTTGCATCTGTTTCTCATTCTAATCAAACTTTTTTTGTTATGACCTCCTTCATCTCCCCACCAAAATGAATTGGTATGCCCTTTTGTTTTTTTTATGTGATGAACAAATTGCTCATTTTTATTTGCTTCCAAAGCAAAACTCAAAGAATTACGGTAGCCATGAAATAGGGAAAATTGCAAGAACATTATAGGATAGCAAAAACCAAGAACAATTCAGTTACATGTATTGGATTTTATTCAAAATGTATTGCATTTAATTAGCTCCCTTCACCTCCTTCACATTGGTCACCAAGAAAATCCCATTCTCCGGGTACGTTTCGTTATTCGTAGCGGCATTATAATGGAGAGCAACTGTAGCAACGACGGTGAAGACATCGGGGATGGTCTCCAGAGGCCAGGCCTCAACTATCTGAAAAATTAAACAATCTAAAAAACCCAGAAAATAACTCCACCAACCTGGATGATCTCTCTTGCTTGTCTGGGATAAATTTCCACTTTTCCCAAGTACTCATTCCAAAAATGGGCATCTTTTTGGAGCCCTTCGAATCGTGGAAACCAGTCCGGAATCGCTCGGTTTCCTTCCTTTTCTAGGACATCGTGATCGAATGGAAATTCGACTTCAAACTGAAAACAAAGGTTTATTTCGGTATTTTTAAGATGTAAAACTAGCTCCTACCTCCACTTTTCCATTCACAACAGTTGTCGGCAGTGGTGGATCAATTTTGAACAATTTGGTTGCTGTGAGCGAATCGAACTGTTTAGCATTTCTTTTTTCCGAGTACTTCTTCTGGTCTCGACGACTATCACGGACTTCATGCTGGTACCAACATCCAAGCTGGAATTTTGATTGTATTTTCAAGTTTTAAGAGTTGAGCTAATCAAGCTTGAATTGCGCGCAGTTCGGTTAGGTCGGAGCGGCTGGTTGCGTGAACATCATACACAATTTAAGCTCTATTGTCTCAGTTTCTAAAAGAGATATTGAAAATTGGTCACTGATAAAATTTTAGTGATATGATGATTCATATTTAATTAGCCCCCAGATTTTCGATATCCCTAATAGGGAGCAAGTAATTGAGCTTAAAGTTCAAGGATGAATTAATATTCTCACAAACCTCCACTCGGTGCATGCACCGGTACATCCCAAGGGTCATCGCGAAGAGATGATGGCAATGTTTCATTGAGCCTGGTTTTCTTCGACAATAAAGTGGATTGAGGACATCGGTTTGGACACACACCCCATATTTCACCAATCTGAAGCACGGCTGAAGTGGCGCAAACTTGTTATCGAAGACGCGCTGCGATGGATGCAAGCGACGTTGAGGGCGCTCGACTGTCGGATAATTTGGGGACCACGGCTGGAAGGACCAATGAATTTAGAGAACTTTTCATAAAATTTTTTAATGCTAAATGTAAGCTGAGAGAATTTAATTAGCTACAAAACTACAAATGAAAACTTCTACATGACTCACTGTTGGAAGCAATTGCTCTGCTGGAAGTTGCACTAGATAATTTTCCGCAACATCATTTATCTCAAAAACTGTGTCTTCGTCAGGAGCGTATTTTACGGTCACCTTAAAGCCTCTCGATATTCTTAATTCTCAAACTTCAGAATACTCACCCATCCCAATTCACCTCCTTTCATATTCTCGGCAAAGAGATTTTTTGGGTCTCTCAGGAAACCAAGATATTGGGACCAAACTTTCCCACGAAACTTCTCAAAGTTTTCATTCTTTTTGAGATCCTTTTCATCAGCTATCGTAGCTATAGTATCCGCCAGAACACATCCACTATCGACTCGGAAAACGACGAGATTGTGGAATTTCTCATCGACACTCGTTTCTTGGATCGACTGAAAAAACGTACAGTACCGCAAAAACAGCAATTTTGGATTCTGTTATCACTTAAAAGTGAAAAATAGTCACATTTGGAATTCTTGAAAATTAGCAAATTCAGGAAATGAAGCACAAAAAACTGATAAATCATGTAAAACATTGATTTTTATTCATGAATATTTTTAACTACTTTTCCACTTTTTAATGGTTCCCGCTTGATTCAGAAAATAAAACAAAAATTCGATATTATTCGAAAGGTTTCTACATATTTTCGTAATTTTTAAATTTTGAAGTTTTTTTCTATTCGAAAGTGACTCTTAAAGTGAAGAATCCTATCTATTTTTCGGTTCTTTTTGAAAAAGTCCAGAATTCCAAAATTCCACCATTTTCCAATGATACCTTTTTTGAATATTCAGATACAGAACGGGTTTCTCTCAAAACTTACCATGTGTTTCAAATCGTAGCATTTTCCAATCTCCAGTTTTTCTAATCCATACGTGTTGAGCATTTTGTAGAGCTTACGTTGTTTGCAATCGAAGACCTGCAAAAATCTTATTATTGGTGAAAATAAGAAAATCTTAAACTTACCGAAACATGTTTCGAATCATATTCGCAGAGGAAGCCAGTTCTTTTCCACGACATTGCGGAGAATATAGATTCAGAAATGAGTGAGTGGCTGTCTACAAAAACATATAAAGAGGAATTGGAGAACGAGGAGCAAGGTGTGTAGAGATAAGAGATGAAGACAGGCAGAGAAACAAAAAAAATCTAAAGTACCGATCAATAAGATGTATGGAAATGTGATTTCCAGTTAATTTTCACCATTTTCCAGAGTCTGGAGCTCGGTTGTCAAATATTGGATCATTTTGAAAACTTTAAAGGGCTGAAAATAATCCTAGATTGAGAACTTTGCATTCACTGAGTTTTCGAAAAATTCCTAGTTTTTAAGCTAAGTGCTTCTGAAGCCCCAAAAAGAGGCGTTTTTCGGTAATCGGCCAATAGCTGAAAAAACTAGGAAACTTCAAAAAATGCTGTGAACGCAAAGTTTTTCATCTAGGTCTGTTTTATCAGCTCCCAATTTTTTAAAGTGATTGGACACTTGACAGCTGTGCTCTAAAGCCCTGAACATGGTCGACGTCAACTGAAAAATTCGTTTTTGTATAGCTTATTTTCCGGTACTGTACCTTAGAAAAAAAGAGGAGAGATCTCGCAAATAAAACGTAGAGTAAGAAGGGCGGATGGGTGTATAGGCCAGGTCCCTCTTATAAATTACAATGGGTCATAGAAAGACAGGTCTCTCTCTCTCTCTCTCTCTCTTTTTGGTTACGAGAGAAATATGCAGAATGGCTATGATTATAAAACGTTTCACTTCAATCATCAAGAACAAACAACTACAGTACCCCGCAAAAATATATTCTCCTTGTTTCAGTAGAAAATAGTCTTTCAAAATTTCGCAGTCTGAATCGTAAGGCAGTTTTTGAAAACAGTTTGTTTTTGATTGATTTCACTCAATTGAACAAAACGCGATACCGTTCAAATAATCCGTGTCACTTTTAATTCCAAATTTTATCACAATTCGATTTTCCTAGAAAAACATCAACTTTACATTGTAAAATAGTCTTTGAGAATCTTCTGATTTGTTTGAAAATCAGAGTAATTTTTTCGCCAAATTTCATTCTAATAAAATATTTGTCACCAAAAAAGAAAAAATGACATTTTAGAGCATTTTCAAAGTTTGAGAGAGAGAGAGACAGCGAAAAATAACCCACCTTTACAGACGAAGTTTCATATGCAGCCTGAAGAATAAGATTTTTCGATGTTTAAAAATGATGGGCAGCCCGCCAAGGCCCGGGCCGGGCCTCCGAAAATCATTGAGAAAATCATTAAGAAGCCCGGCCCGACCCGTTACAAGTAAGAATATACCTAGACTTAAATTGCGATCGAATTGAGTTTCCATTGCATTCACGGAAACTTCAAATCTGTAGAATCGGTATACAGACAAATAGAGTCACTAAATAGAGTTTTTCTAAACGAGGCTATTAGAATTAATGCTTTAATTTCACTCAAATTAAATACTGCACGCTCTCCCCCGTTTCATTTCCGGACTGCAAGCCAGCGGAGCGCGATTGCATAACACGAGACTCAGACGAAAAACGAGGCGGCGGCAAATATGTCGATTTGAAACTTTTCAGCGTTGAATTGCTCGTTCTATTAAGTTTTACTGTGTCTTTATTGATTTTGACTTTTTTCCCCGTTTTTTCTTATAAATAATACATTTTTCACAGTGTTTTGATTCTAGTTTCAGCAACGAACCGAAGAAAATCGTACGAATCATTCGTTTCGCGATCACTCGAAATTTGCGAAACCAAAGGTGCCGTAGAAAAAGCCAAAGAAGGAGGAGCCCGAAAGACAGGACATCAAGAAATTCATGTTTCCAGCTGCCACCAAGTTTCCAAAGTAAAAAGAAAAATTTTCCCGTTTCCTATCGAGCACAGAATTCAACCATTGGATGTTTTCAGTTTTCGGCGAAGTCTACGGAATTCTAATACTATCAACTGACCTACGATTTGTGTAATTAATTTTCGAATAAACAAGTTTGTTTTGTACCCCTTCTTCTGATCTCTTTGTACCCGTGTTTCTGAAAAAAAAGTTTTCGAGGAATAAGATACAGTTGTAACATCAATGACATCAATGCGATCCACAAAAAGAGACAAAAGAATGATAAATTTGAAAGAGTATTAATGTTAAAACGGTAAAAATCACTCGAAAACCATTAAAGTGTGTTGTTTTTTATCAATTTATCTCTAAATTCATTCTTTGAGTTTTTTCTGATATTCCTGTTGTCGGCAGTAAAAATGTATCTCCTCTCTCATTTTTGAACTTTTTGGCTTAATTCTTGTCTTGAAATGTTCGCAATATTCTACTCTATAATTTCTATGGATGATTTTCTAAAATATTCTATGTATCTCGAGAAATTCTGAAAAACTTCGAAATCTATCTCCTCCTCCATTTCTTGACCATTTCTGCTCATGTTGTGTTTAAAATATCCGCTGCGACTCTGTTAACAACTTCTATGGACGAAATCTTTAAAAAAATAAGCGTAATACTCTTTTTTTTTCCCAAAAAACATGATTTTTCAGTACAAAATTTTATTTTCTATTTTTAAACGACAATGCAAGCGCGCTCCGCTGAGAAAAAGGCTTGCAGGCCAAATTTTCAACTGGGGAGAGCGTGTACTGTAAGACATTAATTAGAAAAGCTTTTACTTCCAATAGAATAATTACTGAAAACATAGAAGGCGAGTATGAAAACGAGAGAAAGACGCGCGCGCTCGGTCGCCAGGAAGAAAAACGAAATGAACTTGGTAAGACTGTGTTCAATGGCTGGCGAAACATTGAGAGAGCGCCAGACAGAAGACGAGGAACGTGGGAACCCGCCCCTTTCGCCACGAACCATCTGGAGAGGAAGAGAAAGACACATACACCCGGTGTACAGAAAAAACTGTTACATGACGAGAGACAGAATGAGAGATTATCAGAAAAAAGATAGGGACGTCGACGCGCAACAAGCTTACTTATTGATTATAACCATACTTGCAAAATCAGGGCCCGGGACGGGCCGAGGATTTCCAGGCTCCGGCCCGGCCCGGCCCGGCGGGCAGGGTTCTCGAAATTTGAAAAAAAAAATTTGAAATTTCAGAAATTTTTTGTGAAAGAACTATTTTTAGAAACAATCCTATCTTGAAATTTTTTTTCTTGTCAGAAAAATTCTCCATTTTTTTCTGTTGACCCTAAAAATAATTTCGAAAGACAGAAAAAATGTTTTCCGAAAATCCGGGTCGAGACGGGCCTTGAAAATTCTGAAAAAAGCCCGGCCTGGCCCGTTGCAAGTATGATTATAACAGCCAGTAAAAAATCATAGAAACATAAGATGCTTGACCTCTTCAAAACTCTCAGCCGCGGTTCTGAATCCACAACTTAGAACTTCGCCCAGGATCAAAACCAGTGCTAACTTAGAAGTAAACTGGTTCACATTTCCGGAAATAAATACCTTTTTTCTCCTACTCCATTGATTCAAATAGTGCGTCAATAATTTGAAAATAAAACGAGGGAAAGCAGGGCGACTGAGGAAGTTGCACACACGCGGCCGTCCGGGTAAAATATAGTACATTCTTATGTAAATTGCATTGCAGAGATTGTATGCGTTTTTCGTAGCCTGTAATCCGTTTTTCAAGATAAACTTCAGTTCGGAAATTTATGACGCGTTCTCTGTAGAACTCAACTTCAGGCCTATTATTCACTGTACAAAAAAATTCAAACTTGTTTTTTTCTGGCTGATTTTTTATATATTGCATGTTTATAGACTTCTAAGGTATGTGAAATATAGTTTGTCGCGACTTGTCCCACACCTGCAAAAATATGGTCGTGGGGTGTCTAAAAAATTTTTTTTTCAAAAGTGAAATAATGATTAGGTTTTATTGTAGAACGTTTTTAAGCGTTATTTTAAACATTTTTTGTATTGGCACTCTATTTATTTTCCATCTTCCTTGGGAAAATTTCAATTGTTGGCAAAATAGCTATTTTTTGGACCAAAAAATGACCGTCCTGAAAAAAATTTCCATTATTTTATAAAATTAAACATGAAATTTAGATTCTACATTAAACAATACATTAGCAACTGTTTTGAGATAAAAGATAAACCTGAGCCCCTATGAGTTTTAGGCCAAAATGTGCCTAAAAATGAGGTTTCACCGTGTGGGGGAGTGCACGGCAACAAAAATTCGACCAAAATCGAGCCTCTCCGATTTTGTTCAAATTTTCACCAGATGTAGTATTTTTAATGAGTAGTATTCTGGCAAAGTTTTAGAATCCGTGCTCACCGTCATTGTGCATTTTCAAAAGCACCAAAAAAGCGACAAAAATTGCTTCCAAGTCCATCTTCAGTGAAAAAATACGAGCTCCAGAGAACGCGTCATAAATTTCCAAACTGAAGTTTATCTTGAAAAACGGATTACAGGCCACGAAAAACGCATACATAGTTACGAGATTCGTTCTCATCATCTTCCTGTATTTCTGGAGCTCGTATTTTTTCACTGAAGATGGACTTGAAAGCAATTTTTGTCGCTTTTTTGGTGCTTTTGAAAATGCACGATGACGGTGATCACGGATTCTAAAACTTTGCCAGAATACTACTCATTAAAAATACTACATCTGGTGAAAATTTAAACAAAATCGGAGAGGCTCGATTTTGGTCGAATTTTTGTTGCCCCCACATGGTGAAACCTCATTTTTGGGCACATTTTGGTCTAAAACTCATAGGGGGCTCAGGTTTATTTTTTATCTCAAAACAGTTTTTAATATATTGTTTAATGTAGAATCTAAATTTTATGTTTAATTTTATAAAATAATGAACATTTTTTCCAGGACGCTCATGTTTTGGTCCTAAAAATAACTTTTTTGCAGAAAATTGAAATTTTTCCAGGGAAGATGAATAATAAATCATTATTTCACTTTTGAAAAAAAAATTTTTTAGACACCCCACGACCATGTTTTTGCAGGTGTGGGACAAATCTGGGCAAACTATATTTCACATACCTTAGAAGTCAAAGATACGACTTTATTTGAATTGATTTCATCCATTTTCTGAAAAATCAGAGAAAATTCCGTCATTCAGCTCAGCCGGCAAATATGAATCCAAAATAACCGACTAGAGCACGCCTTTCTTAACCTCTTCCCGCCTTTTATAATCTAAACAATTTGTCGGGTTCCTGTGCTCATCATAAATCAAAGAAGGGGTGTCATAAAAACGGCGGAGTCAACCAAAGAGAGTTTCCGCGTGGCTCCTCCTTCTGCCAGACGGCTTCTTTCTTGCCAGACGGATTTTTCACGATGCGGTAACCGATACAAAAGAGGCTTCGGTGTCTAGAGGCGGTTCCTTTTATCTGGAAATCATGTTCTCACTTTTGGATCGAGAGATGTTTAAAAAGTTTACACCTGACAACTGGGACCTAATAATTATCTACTCTCTCACTTAACTTTTCCCAACATTTCTTTTTTTGCAATCCAACTAATTTACCGTATCTCTTTCTTTGCTCTTTCCCATCACTTGCCTGATTTAAGAGACTGAAAAAGACATAAATATGCAACTTTCAAATTCGCGTTTTTTTCAAATAGCCATTACGAAAAAGACAAAAATCGAAAAAATCATTGTCACTCTCATATCACAGAAAAAAAAACAAAACCAAATTCAAATCAACATTTTTGTGATTCAATATGATTTTCTCCTTTCTTTTTAATATATGCTTACCAGTCGTCCTTTCTTCTCGATAAGTTTGTAAGTAAAATCTGATTAAGTAAATTTTTTTGTACGCAGCACATAAAACAGCCCAAAAGTAGCTTCACAAAGTTTCGTGAAATTCCATCATTTCTAGCCAATAATCGAAAATTTGGATGTTCATCTAAGTATTTCATGACTACATACCATGTTATTATCCCATGTCCTTCTGAGTTATCAAGTCTGCGACAATTTTTCAACAAGTTGGTGTGTCTATTTTCTGACACAGATGGCACGTAAACGGGGCGGCACCCACATCCGTATCCCTTGAATGATACTCTCTCGGTCTCTCGTTTCCCATTCAACAGTCCCAGCACTGCTCATTTTGTGTTTTTCCTGACAGCCGCCGGTGCCTCTCTCCCTCTCCTTTTCCCTACTTGCGCTCGTTGTCTTCAAAATTATTGATTTGATATTCGAACTAGGAAGGCGGTTGAAAGTAGTGATTGTGTCTTGAAAAGCATATCTTGTGGTACTGTTGGCCACGTGAGTTTTTCCTATTCTTACGAAACAGGGCGTGTTTTTTTTTTGAAAAGATCCTGTGGTCGCTTATATTCAAAGCGCTGTCGTACTTTCGTTAACACTGTGGGCGAATTTTTATTTTTAGAGAAAACTCGCTTACGAAACGTGTGTTAAAAAGTGGTATTAAATGGGCATTTCTATTGTTTACGATTGGATTCAGTTTTCACGCAATTCGAAATTTCGTTTGAAATTGAGAAGAACAGTAGAAATCTAGAGTTTTAGGCCTAATTTTCCTCGAGCTGATCGCGGTTCAGTAAGTTCTAATTGCATATTTGTTTTTCAATCGAAATTCCACTCTACTGATCTCTATCATTATAGCCAATGATTACTTTATAAGCACCCACATCTCTTTGAAACACCCGCTACCTAAACTAGCGCTACTTTTCAAAAATTTTTAATAAAAAGTGAGGCTTCTAACAGTGTTTCTGAATTTTTTCATTCTGATAGAGAATATATTCGAATGGTCTTGACCAACTCGTGCTCAACTCTGCCGATTCCGACAGATCGACAAAAGTGTCAAATCTTTTGATTTAGGATCTCTTCCTTAGCGTATATCAGGTTACTATCTGAATAATCTGTCACTTGAATAACACACTTCTCTTCACATCTTCCCGGCTTTTATAATCTAAACGATTTGTCGGGGTCCTGTGCTCATCATAAATCAAAAGAGAGGATTTACGGAGTCAATAAAAGAGAGTTCGCGAGTGTCTCTTTCTCCCGCCAGACGTCTTCTCATGCGCCAGACGTTTTCTTACGATGCGGTGATTGTCACGAAAGAGAGTGGAGTGCCTCAAGGCGGACTTTTTTCTGGAAAGATTGTGTTCACACATTCTGATTAAAAGTAGAGAAAAAAATTGGCACCTAGTAGTTCCATCTCGAAGTCTCCCTTTTCTTACTCAACGTTTTCAAACTTCTACCTTTTCTGCATTTCACCCAAACTACCGTTCCTTTTTTTGCCCGTTTTCACGACTTCCTTGAAAAAAAAGATTCCGCAAAGGACATTAGCATTAAACATTTTCAATTTCATCTCATTTCACATTCAAATTTTTATTGCCTGTTCATATTTGGTTGTCCTCCGCATCTATTTCTATTTCAGAAAAAGCTTAGGAGCATCGAAGCTTGAAGGACCAATACAACCAGCGATTTTCTTGTTCTCTTTGATATGCTCTTAACAGTTTGACCTTCGCGGCTAAGTCACGTTTTTAGAAGATTTCACAAATTTTAAGTGTAAAAATAGATTCTCTTCAAACTTTATGATCAACTTTTTGCACGCAGCACATACATCGTGTCAAATTATACTTTGCAAAGTTTCCTGTAGTTTTAGAAAATGTGAGCTTTTTTTTGAAAATATCGTTTTGGGTTGTACTCCTCATCCATTGCTTTTGAAGAGAATCTTTATCTAGAAGGCTCATGACACCATTAAGCGCTTGTTATTCCACGACTACATACAAGTAAACACCACTATCGAAGTCTAATGTCCTTTTGAGTTGTTCAAGCTGAACCTTTTCTTGTACTCTCTCCTTTTCTCTCTAGTCGTGTGACACCCCCATTACTTTATTTCTTTCGTTTTGTTTCCTGACGACCAGGTGTATGCGTCTTCTTCTCCCTCTCCACATAGTGGTGCATGATAAAAGGGGCGGGCTCTCACATCCGCGTCCTCTGTCTGGCGCTCTCTCTATCTCTCACTTACCCACTCGTCCAATCTCAACACTGTTCATTCCGTTTTTTTACTTACAGCCGCTCGTGCGCGTGTTCTTCTTCCCTTCTCTCCTTGTTCTTGTCGTCTTCAACAGTTATACAGCTATTATTCGAAGTAGAAGAGTGAGGGAGACAAAGTGATTGTGTCTGGAAGAACATATCTTTTTGTAGTGTTGATCAGGTGCGTTTTTCGTATTTCTTTGAAATGGGGCCCACTTTTATTCAAAGATGATGTGCTCGCATACATGAAAACCGCTCCTGCTTTTTATTAACTCTGTTTGCGTAATATCGATTGGGGAAAACTTGCTTACAACGGTAGGCTGCGTGCCATTTTGTTTGTAAAGTGTCTTTGAAAAGTGATATTCAGTGTTGTTGAATCGCTACTAACCTGAAAACAGCAACGTGACCGCGCTACGCTTCCAAACTTGGCTTGGTGCCAAAAGTGGTATCCTTCCGCGCTGCCGGCCCATCGGGAAAGCGCCCACATCCCCATCACTGCCGGGTGCTCTCTCGATCTCTCGCTTGCCCCGTGACACCGTCCTTACAGTATTCCTCTCGTGTTTTCCGTGTCGGTCACGTGTGTATTTCTCTTAGTCTCTCAGCTTTCTCTCGTTGTTTTCGAAAGTTCTTGATTCACTATTTGAATCTGCGAAATGGGAGAGTGACTCATAATTCTGAGCAGACTGTTTTGCCTGTTTTTATAGCATGTGGAGTGGTTTACATGTGGAGTTCATTGATTTTAATAGCCCAAAACGTATTTTCGGGAAGCAGAAAATTAGCAATTTTTGAAGTTAGCGCTGATTCAGTCCCTATTATTTTGGCAGAAAATATTTTTATTTTCGATTCACGGGATTTTAGAATACTTTGATTTTCAAAATTTCTAAATTCAAAAATATTCCGATTATTGATTCATGAAAATTTTTGAATTTCAGAATTCCGCATTGACAAAGCGCAAAAAACTAGTTAGAAACTGACAAACATACTTTGAAAACGTAAAAAAAGTCATTTCGTTCGAAACCCGCAATAAACTTTTTTGCGTACGCTTTTTACATATCGTAGTCCACAAAACTTTTCGAGAATCTGACATTGAGTTTTCTAAAATTTTCTAAAATTTTCGCAATTTTCTGAATTCCAAATTCCGTTTAGAACATCCCTGAGCGGAAAAACAAGAAAATTAGTTCAAAGTCGTTCCTGCTGTATTTTTTGAAATTAACACATGAGTTCTGCTGTTCTGGTATGAGCAATACAAAATTACAATAGAGCAAAGGTTGGTTCGAAATCTGCATAAAATAGAAAAATCAGTTTGGTAACTTTTTTTTTTACTCTCTTTAGTTCTCGGAGAAATATTTTTATATCTCACTTTAAGGATGAACGGTAAAAAGACAACTCCAAGACCTCCTGATGGTGAAGACAATGGTGTGATGAAAAACAATGGCGATTCAAAGATAAAGGCCGCTGCATCAGAGTCAAGAACTCAACAAGATGAACAAGATGCCGGAATAGCTCAGGATGCTTCGCAGAAAATTCAACAAGCTCCGCTTGCTCAAGTTAATGAGGAGCTTCAACAACGCCAACGCGCACACAATCAGCTGATTCTGCAGATGTTACAAAACCAGCAAGCTCAACATAATAGGGATCAGCGAGCTCGACAAGGGCTACCGGCTCAAAACGAGCTCCCTGCTCGAGTCATCGACTATTCCCCTCTCAACCACTATCTTCAACAAGGCTCTCGCATTTTGGCTAGAACTAACGAACTGCTGCAGCTTCTAATGGAGCCACAAGCTCAAAATGATATGAATCAAGCTGATGGGGAGGATTTACGAGAAAAAGAAGTTGAGAAACCTCAAACAGCTGCGGAACTTCAAAAGGCTCAATGTGCACGAATTCATCAGATGATACAGAAACAGCAAGCCGAACATCTTAAGAACCATCATGCTCAACAAGACCAGCAGGCACAGAAACCTCAAACAGCTGCGGAACTTCAAAAGGCTCAATGTGCACGAATTCATCAGATGATACAGAAACAGCAAGCCGAACATCTTAAGAACCGTCCTGCTCAACAAGACCAGCAGGCACAAAACGAGCCGACTATTGAAAGCACTTTTCTCAGTGACCTTACTAAGGCAGATGAGAGCATTTTGCAGCATTTATATAAACCAATTGGAAATAATATGAATCCTATCCCGCTATCTCTGAACATTTTGAATCTTCGAGCTCCACAAGTTCAAAACACTCAGATTGCGGCGATTTCTCAGGATGATGAGGAGCGACAACGTCAGTTGCTGAAAAGTGAGCTAATTTTGCGGCAATTGAATCTTCCGCAACCTCTGAACCATATGAATCTTCGAGCTTCAGAAATTCCTGCACATGTTGATGGAAAAACTTCTCTCTATCAAGTTTATACTGCGGGTGACTCTCAGGGACATCATTCATCAAGGCCAACGCCGAAGAGAGCACGCGAGGCTGATGAATCAGGTGCCGGACCATCATCCCCAAATCCTGCTAAACATTCAAAGAAGGAAGATCATGCTTCGCCAACAGAAGATTAAAAACAATGTGAGTGAGGTCTAAATCATTTAGTGTTGTGTGTGTGTGTGTGTGAGAGAGAGAGAGAGAGACAGAGAGAGAGAGAGAGAGAAATTTCAAAATTTCGAAATATAAGTGTTTCTCGGTTGGCAAAAGTGGACAAATGAGTCTTTTGGGAGAGAATGTATACCTTGATTTTCATTATTTTACCTCGATTTTTTTAACTTCACATCTCTCATTGCCTTGTTAACAACAGTTACACTTTGCATTGCGTTTTTACACAGTTGAAGTTTATCCCCCTAATGTTCCTTCCACGATTTTTTCGGATTTTTGTCCGCTAGCATTTTTTTCTTCTAAGGTGTTTTTTCAAATATTTTTCTTTCTCTGATATTGTAATCATGTCCTCCATCTTTCTATATGTCCCCTCCACTTGGTTTCTATTACTTTTTCTCCTTGTTTTCCCCGCTTTCATCGTGGGCCAACTCAGTTCCCCTTATTGAATAATGTCTCCCCCAATTTTGATTTTGATTCCTTCTTTGATGATGTTTTATGACTTCTCAAGCCTACCTATATCTTTCTTCACCTTTTTCCTTTAATTCTTCTTTCTGGACTTCTGAATTTTCTATCAGATACATTATCACTCTTCCTACGGTAATTCTCATACAGATTCACATTTTTCTTTCCTCGACTTTACCCTCTTCGCATCCCCAATTGATGATGGTTAGTTGACATTCCTGTTTTCTCTGTCCTCCTCCTGTCTGTTTTCTATGTTCATGTGGCTTTTTTATTCTAAATCCAAACTTCCTGTTTTTCAAATTTTTATGATCCACCTGTCTCCCCCACTGATCCGTTACTTTTTACTACTTTGTCATTATTCTCACCAATAATTAAAAAATGAACAGAATACGTTTTTTCTTTGTTTTCTATTTTATTTTATTCATGGTAACTCTACCTGAAACGATTTTTAAAATTTTTCACACATTTTCCAGATTTTTTCACTATTTGCTCGAAATCCCGGTCATTGGCAAAGAAACCACCGTGCCAACATCCGTACCCTTTTGCTGAGTGACATCAACACAGAAATACACAAAGAACGCAAACGCGCCCCAATGCACAAGGACCGTTTAGGAGGATCGTTCTCGGTAATTGATTGTTTGCCTCATACTGCGCACTCGTCCGCTCGATTAGTGTGGTGGTGTCATTTCTCGCTTGCACGGTGATGACCTGTTGCGGTTTTGAAATATTTTTTTGTTGTAATTTAGTTAACTTTTTTCAAATTTCAGGTAACAACATGAAACGAAACCAACCTTCATCGTCTCAACCAATTCCAGAGAAAAGGAAAAATTTTTCAGCAGTTGAGAACGACGAAAAGGTGAGATTTCTTAAAAACTATCAGGTTTTCATCGAAAGCCGATTATGAAAAATTTCGAAAATCGCTCAAACTATTGTTTTAGGAGGCACCATCAGAATTGAAGAACGAAGAAGGTGCAGAGACATTTCAAGGACCATCCAGTCGGAATGAGCAAAATCAGATGACAGAGGATTCATCAACTCCATACGAATACGAGCCAGCCCACGTTGATAAAACGAGTCTGCCAAAAGTGTTGCAGGTTCTCAACGGCCCGGAATGTAAGTCCCCGAGCTAAAATCGATAATAACTCTCAAAAAAATTTCAGTTCGCGTGAAAGGAGTATTTGGCGATGGCGTTTATGGAATCGTCTTGCGTGTAAAACATAACAACGGCAATTACTTTGCTGCTAAACTATTCAAAAATCGCGCAGTTCGATATGATACTCACAATGAAGAAGAGGCAAGTCTTTCATTCGGAAAATAAATGTTTTAAATCTCATTTTCAGGCGTTCAAAATGATCAGAGACAACCCGCATGATAATCTGCTATCGTTGACGTATTTGGGATGGCTGCAGAACCCACCGTCATTTTGCACAGCAAGAGTATTGATGACCCAGGCTTGTGGACCATCACTTTCAGATGTAATGACAAGTGAGTTTTTTTTAGATTGTTCCATTCACAAAACCCATTTTCAGAAGTCAAAAGAGAGCAGCCAGGTTGCGAATTCGCAGTTTATTCGTTACCAAACATTAGAGAAATCGGAAAACAAATTGCCGCTGGTATGGAACACCTGGAGAAGCTCAAAATCTATCACCTCGACCTCAAATCTTCCAATGTTGTGTTCACAGAAAGTTTTGCTTATAGAACGGAGCTAGAAGCGGATCGAGCAGTTATTGATATGTCTCATACTGATGTGAAAGTCATTGACTATGGTGTTGCTCAATTCCACAGTAGTTCCGGATCCAGGTCTTCGTTTCAACTGGCCCAAGCCCCGGAGATGCGTGCACCGGAACTCTTCCTAGGTGAGTTTTTATGCTTTTAATCTAGTACCGAATGTTGATGTACCAGTTTATTGAAATGAATGAATAATATTCAAACCGTAGTCCTCAATTCCAAATTCTTTCTAAAAGAACACCGCATTTATCTTAGAACTTTGATATCTCGGTTACTATGAGAGGCCTTTAAAATCTGTCAACAATAAAAAATTGATATTTTCATGATGAATAATTCATCAGTTGACAGTTTTCTTGATATCAGAATGAACCGCGTTATTTCAGTTCAAAATTAACGTACATAGTTGGTTCCTAGCATTTACTGCATTAACACTAAAAAAGAGAAAACGTGGTTTTTTTTTTGTTTGTGATACAGCTTCAAAAACTCATAAATAGTTTTCCATTTCCAGGACTTCCCTATAACACCAAGTCTGATGTCTGGTCAATGGGATGCATGACGTTGAAAGTGTACTCTGGCAGAACGCCTTTTCCAATTCAAACCACACAACAAAATCAATTTGAATTGCTGATGTCGACACTCCAGAAGACAGTCCCGGAGAACATGTTAGAAGAGTCAAAGCGGGAAGGGTAAGAAACTGGATAACATTATTTGAAAACTTAGGATTTTTTTTCAGAAAATGCCTTCTCAACCTTTCCTTCCTCCAAACCATCGTAAATGACAACGAACAAGGACTCCACAAGTGGGTGCGTGAAGAAAGCCACCGGACACTTTTCAATCTTTTGGACCTCATGTTTACTGTCGACCCCAGCAATCGTCCATCATTCGGAGACATCAAGAAGCACGAATTCTTTCTCAACAAATGATTTTTTGCCTCCAAATGTTCTTTTGTCTCTCTATTTTCTTAGAAATCCAAATTCACCTTGCCGATCCCCCTTATTATATACACCGGGTATTTTTAAAAGCACCCATATCTCTTTGAAACGCTCAACATGTGCTATTTTTGCCAATTTTCAATAAAACCTGAGGCTTTCAAACAATACTTTTGAAAAAAACCTTCGCTTTGTATGGATGGTATAACCAAATTTGAATATCGGATTTGAAATCTATATTTGGCTCTCTATGCAGAATATATTTATGGATTTATATTGTTGTGAAACGCGATTGCTATAATGCTGGTCCTATACGTAAACGTTGAGCTCAATTATTTCGGTTCTTTAGAAAGATATAAAAAAATGTGTGAACTGAATAAATATTGATCATATAATCATGAGCGTTTTAACAATTGATAAATTTTTGATATCTTTTAAAAGAACCGAGATAATTGAGCTGAAATAGCACGGATAAAGTGACGTTCTATTAGTGCATTTACGATACGTCATGCTTCCTTTCACTCTCTCCGAATATTCAGCAGCTCTCTTCCTTCCAAGTGTTTTTTGCACATTACTACTTCTTTCTATCCGTTTCCTCTACTACTCTCGTCTTTTCCCAAATTCATTCCTCTTTTTGGCATCGAGTTCCGTTTCAAATGAGGCTAACCAACACACACTTGTCTCTCTTTCTTTCCTTCCTCTCTTTCTCTGGTCTGTGGTCAGCGAGAAAAAAGAACATCATCGTCGCAGCCTTCTCTCACTCCGCGTGTGCTGACTGCGTTGAAGCCCAGTGTCTGCATGTCTCGCATCTCCATTCTATCTAGCCACACCGCTATCCGACCTCGTATGCTTTCATGCCATGCCCTTCTCGTGCACTAGAGCGCACCTTCTCCTTTATCGACTTTCCTCCACTTTTGTCACTCCTCATATGCATATCTCGTGCCTCGTTTTCGAATATACCTTGTGATATAGCTGCGAAAATCGATTTTGAGCCATTTTCCGTTTGTCTTTTTTGTCTTTAAGTTGAGAAAAGTGTTTGAAATAGGATTCTAGATGAAATTCATTAAATTTCGGGGCGTATTTCGATGAAATTCCTGATCGTCTCCTATATTTTTAGGTAATAGTGCTTATTTTCCTATTTTTCGTTCCTGTTTCTTTCACAAAAAAAACTGCAGAAAGCAATTTTCAGGTAATGGCTCGTCGACTCAGACCAAGGTCCGGAGCTGCAAATGCTCCAGCGCCAAAAAGAGTGTGTTTTGATTCTTCACAACCATTGATTCGAAGACTAGAACCAACCCCAGATGCTTACCAACCACGCCGTCGAACTGCGGAACAGGCTCTACTCGAGGAGAACGCTTTGAAAAACTTTATACTACCATTTTTAGGACCGTCGTCAGGTGATCGACGCTACTCACTCCGAAATTCTGGCTTTCAAGCTACTGAAAGACAAGTTGATGTAGTTACAAGGGCTGAGGGACACGTTAAAGCTCAAGCGACTGGAGGAGCAGCTCAACCGACAGGATTAACTCAACAAGTGGAGCTCGGAATCGGAGAAGCGCTATCGTCAGTACCGTCGTCAAGAGATATTCGCCACGCACTCCGAAACTCTGGTTTTGAAGCTACCGGAAAACCAGCTGCCGGAGTTCCAAGAGCAGAGGATCGAGATAAAGCTCAAGCGACTGGACGAACAGCTCAACCGACCAGACAAATTCAAAAAGTGGGGCTAGGTCTTGGTGGAGCGCCATCGTCAGGACCGTCTTCAATAGAACTTCACTACGCACTTCGGAACGCTGGTATTCAAGCTACTGGAGTCGCACTTGCTGAAGCTCCAAAAGCACCAGAGCCGAAGATCGCGGAACAGATGGAAGCAGATGACCAAGAAGTTCAAGAAACTGGACAAATAGCTCAATCAGCTGGACCAGAAGCTCGACTGGCTAGACCAATTCAAGCAACGGGACTTCGTCCTGCACCGTCTGTTCAGCGACCAATTTTAGTACATCACCGAAACTATCGAGATCTTGTTGCAAGAGTGAGTTTTTCAATTTTTGAAACGCCTTCCAAGGTTTCGAAGAAACTCTATGTTGGCAATGGATTGGAACTGGACAATATTGGGCCTTGTTGAAGCTGCTCACCGTTTTTGTTTTTGACCAATTAGAATTTCTATAGAACTGTTAGGCCGAGAAAGCAACTCAGAAAACCCCAGTTTGCCCTCGATTTCAAATAGCTAAAAATAGTGAACTCGAAATCTCTATGGCTTGGCCGGCCGTTGGTAGTCGTCGCTTAGTTTCGAGCCCTTCGCAAGTATGGTCTAACTATAAAAAATTCGCTTTCATTTTTCAGAGAATCGCTTTGGATGTGGCCCACTTCAATAACGTCAACAAAGAGTTTGGAAAACATTTCACACGCTTCAGACATTTGGAAATGGTTATTGACTTGCTAGGACGGCGCATATAAAATTTTAGTCAACTTTCAGGAGTACGAATGGATTAATTTGCTTTCCAATGAAGCTCGAGCCTATTTGGACAAAAAACATCGCGAGGATGTTATGCCGATATTGAGAGCGAATGGAATCAGCATGGAAGAAGCATCCGAATTTGTAAAGAGAAGAAGTGAGATGTATGAGGAGATTGAGAACGACTACATTGGAAGTGTTTTCCAAAGACATCGTCGAGAGAGTCCAGCAGACAACAAACTTCTCCAACTGATGATTGATGATTGCGACACCGAAGAGGAGTTCGTACAAAAGACAATTCACGTCGTACTGCCGCACAGTTTGGTAAGTTGAGCGTTGTAACAGCAAATTTTAAAAACTTACCATTTTGCAGATCCGCAAGGTCTGGCAGACATTTGGAGACGCACTCGAAATGTGAACGCTAACAATCAAGATATGAGGTTAGTTCATGCTTTTTTTAGAATTCCAAAATTCAGAAATCCCAGAATCTCGGGATCTGAGAATTTGGGAATCTGAGAATAGCAAAATCTAAGAATCTGAAAACTTCAGAATGTGAGATTCTGAGATTCTGAGATTCTGAGATTCTGAGATTCTGAGATTCTGAGATGAGATTCTGAGATTCTGAGATTTTGAGATTCTGAGATTCTGAGATTCTGAGATTCTGAGATTCTGAGATTCTGAGATTCTGAGATTTTGAGATTCTGAGATTTTGAGATTCTGAGATTTTGAGATTCTGAGATTTTGAGATTCTGAGATTTTGAGATTCTGAGATTTTGAGATTCTGAGATTTTGAGATTCTGACTGAGAATCTAATTATCTTGATATTTTATAATCTGAAAATTTTAAAATCTTGGAAATTAGAATTTCTGAAGTAGTTGCCTCTCAAAACGAACCCTCATATTTCGTGATGAACAAATTTTGAAACGCTAGAATTTTAGAGTTTTGCTATTTCGTTCCAAAATTTCAGAATTCCAAAAACTGCAATATTTCAAAAAATAAAGATTCCAATTTCACTAAAATATTATATTCGTACCATTTTTGGTGGCGTTTGCTAAGCAAGTAGGAGCGATTCTCTATGATATTCTGATACCTCCCACTTGAACTACACAACTCTAGTCGGTCCGTCTGGTCATTTTACTTTTTTTTGTATGCTTTACAAATAAATATATTATTATTCAGAAAACTGCTCATCACCAAATGTTCATCAATCTTACCATGCATCCTCTTCTTGTTCGCCAACTTCATCTTCGTCTCCATTTCCCAATGTTCTTGGTCATCATTGGATTGGATAACTCTTTCAATGTTCTACTTTGTCTCGTAACCGTCCGCTTTTATATCAGCGCTTTTGTGTATCATTAATCCAAGTGTATTTGAAAACCCCCTGAACTCCCTGTTTGTTTTACCGACTTCTTCCATTTTCCAAGTCTCTTGATCAGAATTGCATTGAAATATGTTTCTATTAAGCTGCTTTTTCCTGTAACCTTCCGTTTTTTAATCATCGATCTTCTGTATCAATAATCCGTGTGATTTTTAGAACCCCCCGTTTGTTTGTCCGACCAAAGTGAAATTCATTTTTTCGCCCCCATCTTTCGATTCTACTTTCCATAATTGATTATGAATGATCCTTCTAAAAATCCTCTTTGTATTGTAACCTACAGCTTTTTCTTATCATCGAACATCTGTATCAATAACCCTTGTGGTTTTCAGAACTTCCCGTTTTTTACCAACCAGAGTGAAACTCAATTCTTCGCCCGCATTTTCTGATTCTCTTGGTCCTATTTGAATTTGATAATCCTACTAATGACCTGATTTTTCTTGCAACCTTTGTTTTTTTCTATCATCGATCTTCAGAATCAATAATCCGTGTGATTTTTAGAACCCCTTCCCCGTTTGTTTGGCCGACCAAAAAGAAATTCAATAAACCGTTATATTAATGTTCCACATTGAGTTTCAGATTCGAAAGAGGAAAGCTGAAAATGGTTCCGGTTGGGTTCATCTTGAACAGAAACCTTTAATTTGTAGATTCGAGCCAATCGAAAACTTATTCCAGATGTTTGATGTGCTCTAGAGCTTGCTCTACTTTCTCCGACAGAAAATGCAATCTGCGACTTTTTAATATCCCTGATTCAATGGTCGACATGGTACTTCCAGGTACCCCTTTAGACACATAAAATTCATTATAAAGTCTACTCCGTTTTTTTTTGGAGTTCACACCTACATTCCTTTGGCACCATTTCTCAGTAATGCAAAACATGGGATTTCCGGATTCTTTTTGAGCATTATTTTTTTGCATTTCAAGGAGTTTTTATCTGTTAAAGAAAACTCAAGTACTTCTGAGTGAATCCCGAAATAACGAACTGCCTTGTTAGACCTACAATATAATACTTTATACCGTTATCGAATGTCACCCCCGCATTTTGATTTCAACTATCTCGACTCGCGAAAGAGATATCAAAAATGTGTCTACTACTAAAAAAATTGTCTGCTACTAGTGCTAGCTTTAAATGCACATTTGTCAAAAACTACAGTAGGTAGAAAAAATTTGTCAACTGATGAACTATTTATCAGTTTATCAGTAACAATTTATTAGTTTAAAGATTTGTGATGTCTCTCACAGAAACCGAAATGATGAAGCTAAAGGACAAGTGTTGATATGGTAGGGAATCAAAGGAAATATAATTTTCAAAAAGAGCATTCTTATTGTTTTAAGCTACAAGTATACTTTTTTAAGCTACAAGTATACGTTTAGAGCTACAAGTATACTGGAGTACTATACTTTGTGGGAGAAGGAAAGAGAACTTCGACTGGAGGAAGAGAAACAATTGAAAATGCTCGATGAAGCATTTCATGCAGGTATTTCTCTCACTGTTTTTTTACAAATGCAACTTTCAGCATCACGAACCATTCTGCGTCAAGAGAACGCGTATTCAAAAATTAAGCCATCAATGGATTGTCGTCGATTGGAAAATAGCTGGCTCAGATTAGTACTGGCAGTGCTTGTTATAATTAAAGCTACATGGATTTTATCAAATTTCGTCAAAATTACTGGTCTTTGAATAAATAATTATCTATGTTTCGTACGGTTTAGAAGGTCTTTGTCGTTTTTCATACGTTAATCACACGTGAATATCTTGATTTTTTTTAAATTGTTCTCTTTTTAATGGTTTTTGAATTTTTTAGCTGAAAATCATGGCAGTGAAAATCGACGACATCGATCAAAGACGAGAAGCTGCTAAGAAAAAATTCGCATTTCTCATGTGGAAAACTGAAAGACAGTGTCGGCAACAAATAAGACGTCAGATAATCAGAAACGAAGTAGTTCTCCAATCAGGTTAGTAAGGTTACTGTATTTCCTCTAATAGAAGCAGCTTTGAGCTCAATCATCTCAATTCCTGTAAAAGATATCCAACATCTTTCAACTGAAAAATTATTTATCATAATATCACCAATGTTTTATCAGTTGACAATGTTTTGATACTTTTTACAGAAGTAGAGATAACTGAACTCAAAGTTGGCGTTTGGGTGAACTCCTATTACAAGGGAACCACAACAGTTTGGATTTTGATGAATTTTTCAGGATATGTCAAGGATAGCCTATCTAGACATCCTTGAAATTTTTAGAACATGTTCACCAGTTTCAGCCGAGATTTTTCAGTCCGAAGTTTTAGTACTGAAACCCGTTGACTTGCATGCTTTACCACATATTCCATCATCGAAATCATTATGAGAGAAGCTTAGAGAGGGGCGAAAATGTAACCGCCTTTTGAATCAGTGGAAATGTCGACGGCGTAGTGTGGGGGATGTGGTGTGCGCCAGTAGGCACAAGGCTGTGGGTTCGGACCCATTCGTGGTTTTTTCTTTTTTTTTTCTTTTGTTTTTCTATTTCGCGACGTTTTAGGATCCCTCTGACATATGAATCAAATTTTTATCGATTGAAGAGAGTTAGAAAAAGAGACAATAGTTAGAAAAACAATTTTTTTTCAACAAATGTCAAAAAACTTTTGAAGTCCTCAATCACTGCAATGAAGTAGTTTTGAAGCGCTGTTTTCATACCTATACGGACCATGGTTAAATAATGAAAAGTATAGAATCAAGAAATAGGTTATCTATTGATTGTATAATATTTGCAAACGATTATCACTACTTTTTCAAAAAAATTTTCCAAACTGAAAAAAGTTCGATAAAATCAGCTACACAAATGGTGGACAAAATTCTGAAATTAAAAAAAAAAATTTTTCAGAAAATGCCTGAAATATGAAATTTTATTAAATTCTAAGTATAACACAACAAATTTAATGTTCTGGAACCGCCTGGGAGCGGAGAAAATCGCCTTTAAAAATCGCTGTTTTTGCACTGAAAATGCGATTTTTGGTACTGAAACCGATATAACTCGGCTGAAAATGGCGAGCGTGTTCTACAATTTTCAGGGATGTCTAGATAGGTATCCTTTACATATAGTGGAAATTTCAACAAAATCCAAACTCACGAGGTGTTGTGGTTCCCTTGTTAGAGGAAATACAATAAAATCTAAAAATCTCTTTTTTCAGCAGTCGAAAACATTACACTTCTGAAAGCCTTATGCAATAAAACCAAGCATATCACAAATGAGCTGTACAAGCAGAACTGTCGGCTACGTGACGTCATTCTCATGCTTCTTCTGACTATGTGGATTGCGTTTGACAAGACTTTTCCAGCTAAATAAAAAATGTTGCGTGAAATCTTTTTTGATTCTTCATATAATCTCTTCATAAAAAATTGAATAAAACCAAGGGAAAAATTTTCAAGACCACTTATTCGAATAATGAATGAGATCCCCGCGGCAGTATCAACCTTTTGGACGCTTGCTCAGCACAATCTTCTCGAAAAATACCTTTTCTTCGTTTTTGTCATTCGAGTCATCATCCGCCCCATCGCCATCATTATTAGCCTCATTTTCTCCGACGTTGACATTTTTTTTCTTCTCATCCGAATCTTCTTCGTTGTCATCTTTGCTCTCCTGAACACACAGACCTCATTGTCTTCATATGTACATCGTTAAGACTTACAGAATCCAGAACTACAACGAATATTGGCTCGGGACTAGAGATCGGGTCATCAGGTACCCATTCACCATCAATTTCCAAAGATGTTTAACGAACAAGTTGCCGAGGATTTCGATGAATAGTCAGACCAGGGTCATTCGGCTCTGGCGATGATGACATTGTCTTATATTTAAGCTGAAATGCGGAAAACTTTTTTGCTAAAAATGAATGTGGCGGTCTATAATAAGAATGATTAAAGAAAAACTACACAAAAACCTCAAAAAAAAAACATTTCAAATTTGGTGAAATAGTGACCGAAAAAGGAAGATTGTCATAATTTTCAGTGAAAGATTTTCAAAACTTTATTGAAAATAAATATAAAATTCTAAACCTACAAATTTCACATTTTTTTTGAAAATGAAAGACTACTCAAGTTTATCTCACCGCCCGAGGTCGAAGATTTTTAATAATCCTTTTTATACGGGAAACTAAACCAGTCTGATATACAAAACCAAATGAAAAATGACAATAAAATGCGACATGAAAACATCGAGTTCAATTCATTTCCAAAAACCAAATAAAGTTCAATATTACTTTTTGGAATTCTTCTGCTTTGTTTTATTTCAATGATTCTCGTGGGCATGGAGAAGGTAAGAAGAAGTCCGAGCGCATATAATGTGATAGAGTGAAGATAGTTTTATTGCAAACTGCTCTACTCCCAAAATCGGGGACCCAAAAAATCAAGGACATAAAAAAACGTGGACCCTAAAAATTGTAAACCAACAAACATTTTTGGACCCTCTTTTCTCTCAATCATTTTCAATCTTGCTCCACAAGGTTAAAACATTTCAAACTATGTTTTTCAAAAATGATGACAATGTTCAAAAACGATGACAATTCATATGTAGTTTCTACCTGAAAAATGAGTTCAATTTGAAAACTTGCGGATGAATGAAAATTGTTTGATTTTAAAAATTTGGCTCACGATTTTTTTGAATCCGCATTTTTTTTGAGTCCGCATGCCGCATTTTCTTGAAGCCGCAATTTTTGTGACTCCATTTTTTCTCTTTGTGAAATTACATGATAGAGATAAAAACTTGACTCTATTTTCAAAGCAATTATCTACTGAGCAAAGATCGAAAACTATTGTCGAAAGTAGCTTAATCGAAAAAAAAGAAGAAGAGAGAAGTGTGTGTGTGACATTTCTATGAAGGCATATTACTCCATAAAATAATGTGCACATTTAGTGCACAAAACGGGAACTCAAAAGGGGATAATCCAATAATGCTTTGAATCCTATTCCATTCATTCCGTATTTCGCAACTATAGAGCGTTGCGGAAAAATCACTATTTTAGCTGAATACCAATTGCACCAAATCTCAGTCCAATTGTTTATAAAAAGATAAAAGTTATAGATGTTGACTTGACTTTTTCACCTTTTTTTCCATGTCTCTCTCCAGCGTTTTTTTTTCGAAAATCATCTCCATAGAGAATAAAAGTTCGGAACTTTTGTCACACCCTCAGTTCTGTTTTACGTTTTGAAAATTTTATGTATACAATATATTTATTTGCAATGCATGGGGAAATCGATAGATAATAATTTGGCAAGAAATGGGACCTGTACAAATAAAAAGTAAAATGACCAGATGGACCGACTAGAGTCATGTAGGTCAAGTGGGAGGGATCAGAATACCATACGCTTAGCTAACGCCACCGGACTGAGCTTGGAATTTATCACCTTACAGTGATAGGCGATCGGTGTATGAATTGAAGGGCATATTACATCTCTGAGATTTATTCTTAATCATTTTGTATTTTTCTAGTTCTCTTCGTCTGAAAAATGTTTTTCTGTACCTAGTGAGAGACAAAAAATTGACTACATTCCCATGGTAACCTACATTTTCTTATTCCACTCTGTCTCTTCGTTTTTTTTGAATATATTCGAAGTTGTATAGTGATAAACGTGCTCTATTTTTCTCTTTCTAGGATTCCCTTTATTTTTTTGTTTATAACCTCAAAACAAAGTGCCTAGTTTTTCTTCCAGAATTACCCCAAAATGGAAGACAACACCGTTGAAGGGATCAACAAAGAGTTGATCAGAGAAAACCAAGTTCAGGAGAGAATGATTGAGAAGTTGAAAGAGAACATTCGGATTCTGGAAGACATCGAGGAGCAAAAAACTAAGAGCATGGATCTGGCCATCACGTTTTATGCTCTGAGCCTTGGAGCTCTCACCAATATTATGAAAAGAGTAAGTTGAATTTTTCATGAGATTTTTACAGAGAATGTTTATTTTTTCAGAGGACGAGGAAATCCGTGAGCTCAACCAGAAGATGGCGGCAATTCAAGAGATTCTTGACAAGAAACCCGTCGCAGGGACCATGGAGAAAGTCGGAAAACTCGATTGACTATTGGACTTTTCTCTAAAACTTTGAAAACAAAAATTACTATTTATTTCAATAAATTCATTCATTCAAATGTTTGTTTTCTTGCAAGAAGATCGTGATGTGTGATGTCAAAAAAAAGCATAAACCCCTCTCCGTTTATGATTTGTGGGAGGTTTCTGGATGCTACGTTTATGGGTTCGAAGGTACAAAAGAAGAACAGGATGCCCATAGAATCTGTTTTTCCCTTTTTTTCCCCTTAGTTCATCTTATGCTATTTTATCGTACAATTTTAATTTAAAGTTTAATTACCTAAATTTTAGGTTTCACAAAACTACATTTGTCTGGGAAAATTAGTGTTTTTGGGCAACTTCCAGATACTATAAACACTCTAATAAAAAGCCCCCTCCCGCCTGTCGAAGTGGGAATCAAAAACCACTTTGATACAGAAAAAAGAGCTCGTGATTTATGATGTTTCAGATAATAAATTTTAATCAGAAAACCACGCATGAGGACTCATTTTGAGGTCATGTTGGGAAATTTTACCTTAAGCTCAATCATCACAATTTTTGTGAAAGATGTCAAAAATCTCTCAACGAATAAAATGTTCGTCGTAATATCCTTCGTGTTTTTGTAATTTACAAGTTTTTGGTATCTCTAACGGAAATTAAGATAATTGAGCTGAAAGCGCTACGTAGTATAGGGAAGCGTTCTGTCAGAGTTATGAAATGTATGAAATTTTATATTTACAGAATCAAGTGTCGGAGGCAACAAAATGGACAACAGACAAGAAACGGGTATCAAAATCGATAACTATCCAGCAATCAAGAAAGAAAATGAAAGCCAAGATGTTGAACCAACTAAGAACACGAACGAAACACTCCACGACAATTTTAATCAAGTGAACTCGTCGTTTTTTATATTCGGGAAACTTCCAAAGCCTTGTGCACCATCTACTGGTTCACCGTGTGAAATGACAAAGATGGTAGCTATCGATAACTGTACCGATAAAGTTAAGAATCTGCAATGTCCTGAACCAACTCCCAAATATACTTCTGACTCTACGAAGAGCTTCCGCAAACCGTCTCCTGTCAGAACTAACTGGGATAATTCTTCAAAAATCAAAGAAGAATATTCCGGTAAGAAGGGAGAAAAAACAAGAAGGAAGGAAAAATCCAACGACGCACCGAGCCTTGCTGAACCATTCAGCGAAGGTATGTCTAAGGTATGAGATAGAACTCCTAGAAATGTCAAAAACTGAAAGAGGAGATAGATTTTTTCTGTAAAAAACTTTCAAAATGACCATTTTTGACATTTTTTTTCTTCCGGAAAACGACCATACATGAATCTATAACCACTAATTAATTTTTTGAGAATCATTTGAATCATCTTGGAACTCCACAAAATCAGATAAAAAATTCTGAAATTATGGTTTTAGACCTGCAATTGTGATCGCGCCAAACTTTTTTTTCTGTAGATCAAAAATTAATTTGCAGTTTGGAATTGTTCTGTGGGAGAGCGTGTTGTTATCAATTAGTTGACCCGGAAGAAACGATACGCATAAGCAAATGAGAACCGAGATGATTTCGCAATAGTTTTCCTCTTCCACCAATGTCTTTCGCTGTCTGGGTCTTTTAGGACGCAGCGCTCTCTTTCGTTTGCTACCCCTCATCTCTAAAGTCTCGTCAAATTTCTGCTTAACTTTTTGGTGTTAGTTGTCAGCTGCGATTTTCGCGTTTTCTTTTTTTAAAACCTCTTTCATTAAATTGTTATTTTATTTTTCAAATTTATAATTTTTTAGGTAACATGGATAAATTAGAGAAAACCATCGCTGACAAAGAAAAAACGATTCGTCTACTACAAGCCGAACTCACTCGCCAAAAAGAAAAGGTGTCAGGGCTCCAATTCGAAAATGATAAATTGCGAGGAATAGTGAAGGACTTATCGAAGTATAAGCAAGCATGTTAGTTTTTTTTTTTTTTTGAAAAAAATAAAGATAATTTTTTTTTGCAGATGCTTTGTCGCGTGATTACATAGAAAACCATGACACCAAGAAGTCGGAAGAGAAGAAACCAATTTTTGTTTGTCCCAAGGTTGAAGAGAAAAAGCCAGCGGAGAAGCTTTCTACGGATGAAAAGAAAGTAGCAAAAGAGGATGTTCGAGGTAAGTTCTAGAATTAAAAAAAAAAGAAAAGAGACAATATCTTTCAAATCTGAAACATTTTGAAATGTATACAGTGCGGTCAATATCTTTAAGAATCTCTCGATTTTGAGCGCGCAAAGAAAACTAGAAAAAATATCAAAAAACTGTAAACGCCACTCGATTCAGAATCCAAAACAACCCCCAGAAAACGAAGTTTCATGAATTTAGCACTTTCTCTTCAGGCAGAATTCAGATAAGTACAAATCTTCATAATCGGAGGTGAGACGGTTGATGAGTTCTGGGGCTACCGTTGAGAAGATTTTCGTGCCAATTCGGTCAATTATAAATATTTAAATGATGAAATGATGAAGCAGGGAGTAAGAGCTTTCTAATAAAATAAAATGACATTGAATTCCACCATGTGGAACTCCGGATTTTTTCCATAAAACCGAAATCGCTTCCAAAAACAGCAAAAATTGTGAGATGAATTTTCAGAAACCAATTTTCTGATCTGAAAACTTTCAGAACTCGATGTTATTTGATTCAAAACCATCTGAAAACATTTTTCAGATTGATACTTGGCACTTCCAAAAAATTTTCTAATGAAAATTATAACTGGATCATCGAAAAATCCGGAGGGGTCTTAAAGATATTGACCGCTTGCCTATCGGTTTTTTGGATGGTACATGGTCAGGGAACGTGCTAAATTCATGAAACTTTGTCTACTGTGGTTATTTTGGATTCTGAATCGAACGGCGTTCACAGTTTTTTATATCTTTTCTAGTTTTTTCTGCGCGCCAAAATCAAGGGTGGTCTTAAAGATATTGACCGGACTGTATGTGTTAGAAAATCATTTTTGAAAACAGTCCTGCTCAATAAAAACCAGTCGTTCTGGTTGAAAAAAGGCATATTGTAATATCATTTTCTTTGAGAGATATCAAAAGTTTGCCCACAATGAAAACGTTAGTGTCAGTATTACCTACACTATCATGGTTTACAGATTTTTGATATCTCTTACAGAAATTAAGATAGTTGAGAAAATTTGTTTTTTGTAGATGTCTTATCGCGTGATTACATAGAAAACAAGGAGACCCACAAACCGAAAGAGCCATTTTTTGTATGTCCCAAGGTTGAAGAGAAAAAGCCAACGGAGAAGCTTTCTACGGATGAGAAGAAAGTAGCAAAAGAGGAGGTTGTTCGTGAGTTTTTGAATTTTTGAAAAAAAACTGCTGAAATTCCAAAAAAATGCTATGAAATCGTGCCAGGCAATGTACAGGGAGACTCTATCCCAAATTGTCTACTTTAGTTGCAAACGGGTAATATGGATGTCTGAAAAAATGAAACCCTTTTTTTGAAACTATTTTCAATAGTAATTTTGGCTGAATTGACACAAAAATACTTTTTCAAACACCTGGAAACTACTAATTTCAATTTAATTGATCATTTGAGGAAAAAATTTGTTCCAGCACTGCATATGTGTCAGAAAAAAGTTTAATTTTAATAACAATGCTGCCAAAAAAAAACCGCGCATAAAATGTCATTTTGATTAAAATTAGTCCCATTGGAATATGAAACTTTAAAGGAGGCCAGATACCAAAAAAAAAAGTTTTCCTGATATTTTGCATAGAGAACCCCCATGAGGGGTTGAACTCATGACAGGCAGTTCAGGGGTACAGCACCGCTACCCGCTGAGCTACGGGGGCGCGAAGGCGTCTGACGACCGATGGTCTACATACGCGCGGGGCGATTTCGTCCCCCGAACTGTCCCCCGAAATTTTTGCTGTCTCCCCTCCTTTAAGCTCAAATATCTGAATTTCTGGGGAAAATTTCAAAAATGTTTCAACTAACAATAGGATTGTCATAATATCATCAACATTTTGATAGTTAACATCTTTTTGATATATTTCATGAAAATGGGAATAAATGATCTGAATAAGTGATAACATCCGGTGGCGTATATAAGTTACTAACTATTTACAGAACCATGTGTGGCAAACAAAAAATTGGGCAGCAAACAAGAAAACGGTGTCAAAATCAAAAACAATCTGGAAATCAAGAAAGAGAAAAAGGAAATAGTAGAAAACGAAGTTGATCCACCTAAGTCCACATACGAATCACTTTACGAGGATGAGTATCAATATGGTCTGTCCTTTTTTCGACAAGCAAGAATTCCAAGATCTCATCCACACTCCACCAGTTCACCACGTGAAACGACAAAAATAGTAGCTACGGATATCGATAACTGCACCGATAAGGTTAAGAATCTGCAATGTTTTGGATCATCTTCCGAATCCACTTCAAAGTCAACTGAAAGTTCCGACAAACCGTCTGATGTCAAGAAAAACTGGGAGGATTCTTCAAAAATCAAAAAAGAAAAAACAAGACAGGAAGGAAAAACCAACTACACACCGGACCTTGCTGAAGCAGCTCACAATGTTATGCCTGGAAATTATTTCGAGCCATACAGAGATAACAAAAAAGTTCTATACCAGCCACATGGACCCTCACCAGCGAATTACTCAGAGGAATGGTGATAAGGGAAAGTGAGAAATCTACTCAAACAACGGCATTAATAGTTTTTTACTTTCAGAAGTATGAGGGTCATTGGCTTGCAATTCGTTATTTTAAAAAAGGCAAATGATAAAATCTCGGTAAATTATTAACAAGAATAAAGTGTTTTGTGAAATAAAATAATCATCTGATGAGATCATTCCTGATAACAACATAGGATTTTTACTATCAGCATGTTTGCATGCTTCCGCGCCTCACTTTTTTGACAGTAATTTAAAAAATAATTATTATTTCTGAAATTCAGGTGAACAGTTTTCGAATTGTAACTTTTTGGCGTCCTTCAAAAAAATGGGAAACATCACTTTATTTGTTTCTAAAGAGAACATTTTGAAAAAAAAATAGTTTCCAAACAAAAAATGAGAATGAGAAAAATGAAGCAAATTATCAAACTCTTTGATTTTCTGAGCTACCGTTTCCATTGCTTCATTCAGCGATTTGTCGGTTCCTGGCTTTTTTCCTTCACTGGATTTTCGAAACTTCATTTATTTATTATAAAAATGATTATAAATTATTTGATTGGTCTATGAAACCTTGCATGGGGACTATGGGAAAATTAGGAGCAAGTGATGCATCAATTGTCTTGGGCGCGCTGGCTGAAGAGCTTTGAACCATGGAAGTTGAAACTTCTGGAGTTGTTTCGGATGCCATCGCGACTAGCCGGGAAGTTATCATCTGGGCGGGGACAAAAACTCCTACAAAATGGATTTTTGTGCATTTCTTCATGCATCTTCTGTAGTCTTCCCATTTCCCGTTGCATAGCAAGGTTGAAGTTTGGATCTTGTGGTTCTGCAGAATGAGAAGGTCTTGCTTAGCTAACGCAATTGTGTCCTCTTCTGATCCTCCCATATCTGCTGAACATATGATTCTCGATGCGTCTGGAATCGTCAAAGCTTCCATAGTTCTTGGATTTTCTGGAATTGTCTTTTCAGTGGATGCAGATGCGGAATTCTTGATCAGTGAGATCGTTGTGGAAATTTCCGATTCTACTGTTTCCGAACCAGCAGATTCATCAGGAGCTTCGTCTTCTACCAGAGGATACTTGACATTATCTTGATGAGCCTGGTTCTCGAAGATTATTGGATTCTCGGATCTCACTGTTGATTCTTGCGGAATAGATGCTTTTGAAGTCCGAACATCCAAGGTGACTCCAGCCTCGAAGACTTCTTTTGGGCACATCAAAATCGAATCAGCTTCCTTGATCACATTTTGAATCTGAATGTTTTTCATTCATGGACGATTTATGATCCCAGAAATGTGACGGAGAAAATCTGCAAAAAAGTATATTAAGAACATAACACATTCAGTTGTAAGCTATTACCTTGTTTTCTCCCAAATTCTTCATTTTTTCCATTGCTAGCAAAGCCTTCTTTTGGAGATTTTCCAGGTTGTCGAAGAATGCAATATTTTCCATGTAGCCAGAGCAAGTACACTGATTTTTGGGTCATCTGGAGTCGTGATAGCTAGCGTATCTTCTGGTGGACTGATGCTATTTGTTCTGTTTTCACATGAAAAGGGATAAGTTCAGAAAAATAAAGGGAATTCGTTCACAGATGTCCAAGCAGAAGGTCGTCAGGGAAAGATATAGGGAGAGATGATTACATGAGAGGGGAAATGAATGCTAATGGTTGGTAACCGCCGGTATTTATAGGAAACGTCGAGGGGCGGAGTCAAAACCAGGTGGGCTGTCTTTACCTATATTGGTATTTACGGCAATAGTAGTGAGTTTTATGACAGTGTTTTTGTGTCCTTCCCAGGAGAAATGCTGATAATCGACGAGAGACAGGAAAGACATTATGTGGTTTGTCTAAGATTTAGGGAAAAGGAGCGATGAGGAGAATGTCAGAAACTCTAATCCCAGAACGTCACCGAAAAATGAACCAAGTCTAAAAAAAAAGTGTGTGTTCCTAGGTTTTTTCCTCAACAAAAATTTATTTAATTACTCAGAGAGATTGTTCAAAATCTAGAAACAGTTTTTTTTTTGAAAATTTGTAAATATGAAGACCCCAGTTAAAAAAAACTTGCTGTTTCAAATTTTAAAGAAAGTTCATTTTTCAAATGTTTATAAAAACACACGTAAAATTGGAAGAAACCCGTTTGGCTGTGGTAAAAAATCAAAAAGAGCTTTAAAACTGTATCCGAATCTAAAGACCCTGGAATAGCGGATGAAATGCCTACACCATAAAAATTATATCGGACAAAGGTATCATATAATTACTGAAAGAAACAATTTCATCTAGCTTAAAGAACTTTTAGGGTTCTCATTTACGGATATTTAGAGCTCTACCAACCTCAAGTTTTGAGAACTTCAAATTTTCAAAAAAAAGTCGGTAAGTCAGAAACCCGGAAGTCAGAAACTCATAAATTAGTAAATTCGAAGAATGAAGATACCGGCAAACCTAGGGATTTTAGAAGTTACGGAAGTAAGTTTTCAATTTTTGACTTTCTTTTTTTCTTAATTAAAATAAACTCGGAATTTCTTCAATCCTGAACACACCTGAAAATTGGAATTCCGGAACTCAAAAAGTTCGAAAATTGGAAATTGGAAAAGTAAAAAAGTTGGAAGTTACAAAGTTTGTAAACCCAAAAATTCAAAGCATCGGAAATTTGGAGTGGAAAAATAACTTGAAAATCATATTATCCTTGTTCTGCTTATTGTAATTACACATTACCCATTTATCATCACTAGTGATGATTTGGTTCCACCATTCATGTGCGCAATGCAGGATGAGAAGATTCAAATAGGTTCCCACACGTGAAACAAGGTTGCGTTGAGCCAAAAAAGTGTGATCCATATCTTTCCACATTTTTGACTTTACCGAGGGTTTCCAATTTATGGCTTTTTGACAAAAAGCTTGCCATTAATGTTCTTGATATATCCCGCACAGTTTGAGACGGGTCCCTTTAGATCCCGCTTTTTAATGGACCCAAATCTAAGCATGTTCGCCTTTTTGAAGAGGAATTTTCGTCAAACGAGAATTCCCCTTTTTCAAATTGATAAAGCCGGGGTGTAATGATAGTTTGAAAGGGTACACCTTCGCTAAAAACATCCACTAATCGAAGCTCGATTCCAGCATTTTTCCGGTCAGATGGAAACAAAAAAATGAAAGGACAGTCCGAAAATGGAATATATTAGAGACAACAAAGTTGAGCATATCTCACTACACGAAAAAAGAGAATGATCTCCGTTTGGGTTGAGACTCTATTAGACCCCACTAACATACTGAAAAAACGACAGCTCCCTCATTTTTACCTTGTCGTTAAAAACCAAGTTTGAAAACAGTAGATCAAAAATGACGGGAACTTTCCAAACAACCTAATAGATCAAAAATTATCGTATTTTTCCACACTAATTTATGCGCCTTTAAACAGTACCTCGCCATTATTTTTCATTTTCTTTTCCTTCCATTTTTCGCTAGTTTTTGTCGATTTTTGTCTAATTCTTATTAAACTTTAATTTATTTCATTCATTAGAAACCCGCCAATTTTGGGCCCACATTACATAAATTGTGAGAAACGGTTCGAAATCTCTTGCATTAATATGAAAAATACCGTAGTGCTTTCGTTGCTCGACTGACGATAATTTTTGATCTATTTTTGGCAAGGTTCATCGGCGCTGAATAAGAATAATAAGTTCCTAAAAATCAAGTTATTGTTTTCATTATACTTTCCTTGAGGGTATATGAAATTCTTTAGGGAATCAAAAAATCACGTCCAAATCACAAGATTTCTTTTTCGGTCATCCAATCACTGCGTGTCCATTTAAAAAAATATTGAAGTGTAAACGCTGCTAAGCATTCTTTGAATCTCATTGCATTCATTTACATCGATTCTGAAAATATACTACACCTACTACGGTTTTAATAGCATTGGACATAAATAGACCTGATGTTGAAAATGTTTTGCTTAGCAGCTACGCAAACAATGGTAATCATGACATTACTTGTATAAATATAATCGGACTATTTTTATTTTCCATAAAATTATGTTTTTCAAATATTTATTTCTGTTGAGTTTGAGAGCATTCTGTAATTGTTATCATAATGGTGGTCCAAGTTACATGGATTCGCCACTTTGGTCTCTAGTGCCAGATTATGCGGAATCCGAACTAAATTGGAAACCTAGAAATTTCGTTCATTACGATGTATGGAAAAATTGGAGAACTGGTGAACGCAAACAATTTCCAAGAAGTGAGTTTTCAGTTTTTAACCATTTTAAGTTGAAACATTGTGAGGTTGTGGTGGACTGGATGAAGGGGCAGCCGTTGTTTGGCCGGAGGATTATGACTATCAATTTGATAGTCATTTCTTGTGGAGCTGTGAAAAGAACGATATCGATGGATCATTGAACTTTGAGCCATCGGCATGTGTTGGCGATGAGTCGGCTCAGAAAACTCACAGCATCAGAGCTGGAGAAACAGAAATTTACAAGAATGGATCAGTAGTAGTTTCCTGTAAGCGGTTTGAGGGAAGATTGCAAAGAGTGAGCACGCCAGGTAAATCAGCAACTTCTCAACTCATTAATTCCATTCTTTACAGTTTCTGGATGCTTCTACAATAACACAGTATATCCCTTAGGTGCACATTGGTCAGAACCCAACATTGGGGATTCCCAGACTTTACACAGGTTCATGACTTGCTACAAGTCAGAATCCGGTTATTTTGAAAAGCGAGTTGCGGGTGAGTTGAAAAGATTTTTTGAAAGTCATACTCAGCCATCATACTCAGGATGCATACTACAATCGGAAGTTCCTCAATATATGCTGCTGAACCAAACATGGGGCCTAGCAGAGAACGTTTTTAAAAAATGCGTCGAAACTGAACCCGGAAAAGTAGATTTGAAATCTGTTGAGAAATTTGGTGCGTAGTACTCAAAAATTTCAGTTGCATATCTTGAATTTCAGAAGACACATGTAACTTGAATGGAGTAACTTACCAAAGAGGACAATGGTTTGATAAACAACGTGGAGCAAACTTAAGATGTGCATTCGGAAGAGTGGAAAAAGATTGTAGGTTTTAGAGATAATTATTGATTCGCGAATAATCACAATTCAGCATGCGAGATAGGAGGAGAACTTGTTTGGCTCAACCACGAAGTGAAACTATCGAATGGATGTACCTTTTTGTGTCACCCACAAACTAATATATACAATTGCGATGTTTCACTTAATGAAATGAAAATTTTACGTGCTACTGAAGCAGCGAATAGCTAGATCTAATTATTTTTGAATATACGCTTGTCTGTAAATAAAGTCTGTCAATGATGGGTAATATTCTGACAAAGTTTCAAGATTCGTTCTCATTGTCTTCATGCTTTTTTGCAAAGCTTAGTCTTTCCCTGGAAATTCACTTGAAAGCTATTCGTGAAGGAGAGATGGGGTAGATGTTCTACGTTTCGAGAAAAAGGAATCTGACCGGATCGACGAACAAGTGAAAATTGATTTAGTAACAGCCAACTGTTCGAAGCGACCTGTAACACCATCGCAAAAATTAGGTCCTCAAGTTCTATTTAGTAAACATCTTTCATAAGTAGAGTACCGGAAATCGGGTCTAGACATTCCTGGTGGTCCGTCGATAGTCCGTCAATGCCTCGTCGGCTGCCAACTAGCAGTCATTTTCCAGTTTGGGCCTTTTCAAATATCTTTCAGTAGTATTTCAGAAGTTTCTCTTTGTCAGTGTCTTTATGATTTTAAGATTCTTCTCCACCTCTCCGCTATGATCCCCCTTATGACGCCTCTTTTATGACGACGTAATTTTAGTCACACTTCCCTTATGACATTATGACTTCCTGGACTACCCGATATTAACATTTTATTTTGTTTGTCGACTTATTTTGTAGCTAAAAACTATGACGATTGACAAAATAATTTATCTTTTGTATTTTTCTCATAAAAAATTTTCGGGGAAAGTTATAAAAAGTTTCAAAACTCGCTTACACTTTGGATGAGCCCAAGTTTTCAAGTTTGAGCATTTTTCCGAGAAAAATGTCAACATTGGCAATTTCACATAGTTTTGAGTATAACACAAAAAAAATAAAAGTCCTAAAACTTTATAGGAGTGGAGAAAATCATTTGAAATAGGCCGATTTTACACTGAAAAAGTGATTTTTGGTACTGCAACTAAAATTTCAGCACTTTCGAGGTCTCTCAAGCATATTTTGAAAACGGTTTTACAGGTTTTCAAACATGCTCTTTAATTTTTTTACGGTTGGTTTAGGCAAATTAGCCGGACAACTTAAAAAGTTCCCTTGTAAGATATCCCAATATCGAAAACCCTTTTCTTTTCCCAACCAAACGAAAAATCAACTCTCAATATTTCCTGTGCAATTGATTTCATCTTGGAACTCTTTCACATTTTACCATTGATCTTTAATTCAAAAATTAATTTTTTATCATTAAAAAATATCTCTTTAACTTTCTCTCTAAGTACCGTGAATACATTTTATTGAGAGCATTCATTCTCAATGATCGTAATCTTTCTTTTAATATTTTTTTTTTCAGAAATCATTACCGTCATCATCATTATTCTTATAAACGGAGTGGCTTTTGTTTTCTTCTCTGTATGTAGGCCCAAATTTAGAGAAAAAAGATTTTTTCAATTTTTTCAAATTTGAAGAAAAAACAACTTATTTCAGTAAAGGAATATCCAAAAAAAAACAATAATTGAAAACAAAACAACCAGGGAAAAATTGAATTGAAGTTCCCGAAAAGTCTGGAGAGATTTTCAGTCATGAACCAGCATCAAGAGATTCTCGATCGCTCTACAGATGTCGTCTTCTGAAATTCGCTTATCCCGTCCTTTCAAGCTTCTAAACGTTTCTTTGAATGTTTCATAGAGTGAATTCAACGACGGCGTGCCGAAAAACTCTTAACCTCAAATTCTCCAATTTCACTTGATTTACTCCTTCCTCCTATACTTTGTTCTCCTCCACTAATTCCAGAATCTTTGCTTTTGACGCTCCAAACGAATGATGGTTATCAAGGACAGTTCGTCTTAGCAACTCTGTGGAAATAATCTCTGAAAATCATCGATTTTTCTATTACAATCAAGTGTCTTCTTCGTGAACTCAAATGTTTTCATCATATGCTGAACCAAAAGTTTCTTTGGATCTTCATAAGGTCCTTTGATGTGTTTGACAAGATCAACTACTAGAAGTACCGAGGTGCGTTTCTTGTCACTCGTCTCTTCTTGTTTTGGCTTGAAATCGAGATGCAGCATAATTTTCTCCTCACTGTTTTCATTTTTGTAGATTAGGATAAAATCCTTCGTATCATCTTTGTTCAGTTCGACGGTTAGTTCCGTCATATATCTGGCGCTTCTCAAAAACGAGTGGGTACGCTTGAATGTAGAGAGATTGAGCCTAAAATGTGTTGTGATATAGTATTTTTGAAGAAACAGATATTTTTAAATCACTCGGGAATGGAGTTAATCGGGTATGCAGTTATGACATTTGACGGTTATCATTAGAAAGCGGAGAACAAGTTAATAAGGATAAGGATTTTAGAATTTTCTATAATGCCTACAGAACAGAGAAAGTTTTCTTTCTCAGAAAACTGAATCTCAAGCTCTGGATTTCTTTTTTTTTTCTTTTTTTTAAAGAATTTTTGGATCTCGCTAACACAAAATACAAAAATCAAAATGTTATATTATACTCGAGCGAAGCAGTAGACAATCCAGAGCTTGAGCCTTAATTTTCTCTGAGCTGTCGGTTTTATTGCTGATATTAAAGCTGTCGGTTTTATTGCTGATGTTATTCGAAGGATTTGAAGAAATAAGGAGTGATGGTAACCGTGAAAGAAAATGATAAAAACGAAGGTAAGAAGGACTAACCCGCAAGAGTTAGTCCTGATGTGGGGAAGGAAAAGAGAGATAGTGACAGGATCAAAGGGATGGGGGCAAGTCAGAAACGGGTAATCGAGATCTCAAGAAGTTTTTGGAATTGTGAGGGTGGTAAGAAAGTGGGGCAGTTCTTCACAATAGCGTTCCAGTCACAATAGCGATTTATACCATCCATTAGTCAGTTATTTTTGTTTTCAATAGGAAATGTGCTATGACCACTACCTCAATAATTACCAAATTCCAAAAAAAAACTCACACGTCTGCAAAATCCATATTCTGGATAACTTCATCTCGAACAAGTGCCGGATATTTGAAAAGTTTCAGTTTTTTGTAGCATTATGGAAAGTTTAAAAGTGAAATTTTCAAATGACATGGCAAAAAAGTCAAGTAATCCACGCTTCCTATAAAAAAGTAAACTTTCGGGAGCGCATCCCGGTAGAACACTGCACATGTTGAATGAAAATGAGGGGATCAATAATAGAGTAATGCGTATACGCATCAGAATACAAGAAATAGGGATGAGTTGTCATCAGATACGCAACAGAGTAGGGGTCAAAAACTGCCGTCAGCTCGTCTCGCCAGACGGAAGGAGAAGTACGGAGAATAAAACAGAAAGCACGTACACCCTTCTTGCTTCTCACCTTATTTGATGTATTGAACACTGTTCATGTCTACAAATCGCGCAGAAAAAAGGAACAGGTGAAAAGATAAAGAATTGTGCCCAACCCATCCCTGGCCAGAATGCTCTTGGGCCAGGTTATATTCAAAAGATTATCATTTAAAAAAGCGGACGATGACAAATTAAACACACAAAGAAATATCTTTTGATGTGAAATGAAAGAATCTTCTAATGGGTCATTCATAATAATAAAGTAATGTATTACCACTAGGCTTTCTGGCGCTCTTTCGGCAGTTCTAACATCTGGCTGGCGCCTACGAAGCGATTACTTCGCTATGTTTGCAACCTGAAATTCAGGTAGACAGTTTTTCGAATTGTGATTCAAACCTACCAGACACAATAATTCAATGCCAGATCAAATTAGGTCTCAGGAATTGTTTCCTCTGGGAGAACGGAATGATGTACAACGAAGAAATAAAGAAAAGAGAAACTATATAATTAGTTTATTATAGAAATTATCGTCGTAGTTTTTTGAAGAAAAAATAAGTTTACAAACAAAATAACATTTTAACAACATCTCGGGTAGTCCAGGGAGAAATTGAATGGGAGAGCCATAATGTTTAAGTTATTATCCATCTTTTCTTGTTCTTTGCCATCCTGTTTTCTTCTTCGCCATCTCGGTCTTCCTGGCAAATCCAATTTCCGGGAATCCAACGATATTTCCAAGATAAGATTTAAAGGAGTCTGCAAAAAAAAA